ATGCACTACCACCTGCTGTATATACTACACCTCCCCAGTGCTTGATGGGTACACACACACGTGTGCACACACAATCTGCTGCACACCCCCTGCTGAGCACAAAGGCACACACCCGCCACATATACCATGCCACGCACACACTGCCCTACCCAAGGCACACAGGGCAGCCACAGCACACACGGGCGCCTCTCGGCCCTGTCCATGATACCACCTGCACCCTGAGCCCTGAGAACCAGGCCCCCCTAGGGCAGGGTGGGAAACAGCTCATTGGTGCTCCTGGGCTCCCCCCAGCCTCCCCCTCCCACCTCGCCCACCTTAGCCCTCCCAGAACCCACCCAGGTCACCTGGGCCCTGCCCACACCTCTGCTGCTGGCCTCCCTGGGGCTCTCCTGACCACTGTCCTGCCCGGCCTGGAACCCGGTTGCTCAGGCAAGTCCTGTGCCTGGAATGAGCCCCAAGACCCTTGCTCCCCCACCCCGGGGAGGGAAAGGCCAGGAAGCAAAGCCTGCCTCCCCTCCCCCTCCCTCGAGAGAGAGAAAATGTCAGCTTCTCTGTCTCAGTGGCGGCAGCGGGCGGGTTGGAGGGGGAGTGATTCAGCCTCTGCCTCAAGAGTGCGGAGTGAGAAGAGCTTTTCCTGCCATTACCGGGGAGGGAGAGGCTGGCGCGCTAATGGCTTCAATTACCTCTCAGACAGGAACACCGGGCGGCAGGCCCTGCTCGGCCAGGCCCGGCTCACCCAGCCCCTGGAGCCGGGCACCGCTCCCTGTCCCCAGCCCCCCGGCCCGGCCCAGGGCGGGAGGGGGGTGCAGGGGGCTGCAGTGGAGCCCCCGGGGCCGCCAGGGCACGCGAGGCCACACCGGGCCACACCCGGACACGCAAGGAGCGGCTGCAGCGTCAGGGGAGCCGGTGCAAAGGCCGGGGCGAGGGCGTGGCGGGCCTCGAGGCTGCGGGGTGCTCCCCAGCCTGTGTCAGGGCCCATCTGGGGAGGCGGGGCCTGCCGGGGACAACACAGGCAGGGGGCATGGGACCAGACTTGTAGGCCTGGGCTCCCCTCTGGCGGCGACACCGACTCCTCCCTGAGCCCTGTCGCCGTAGGCGGCCCTCAGCCGCTCCCGAGGAGCCCAGTGCACAGGAAGCATGTGCACGGACAGGTGCTTTGGGGTGTACGTGCAGTGTGTGACACCTGTAAGGCTCACTTATTCCCAACCCCCAAACCAGATTCAAGCGCTCCCCGGGCCTCCTTAGAGCCTGTGGAGGCCTCCCAGGAATGGCCTGGCCCTCCTCTGGCTCCAGCCCACAGCCCCAGACAGACTACCCTCTCCCTTGCTCCCCCTCAACACCTTTTCGGGGTGGGGGGGAAGGGGCACAGTCTGGGCTGCTTCCTCCTGGCCTCGCCTCCCAGCACCTTTGAGGCCTCCCACTCCACTCCTCTCTACCAAGCCAGGAGCCTGGTCAAGGTTACACAGAGCAACATGGTTAAGTCAGCATTTCATCTTCCGGCTGCTGCGTTTCAGGAGGAGGAGGCGGGGGGGTTCACCGAGGCCCACGGGGGCCGGAGCAAGAGCAGGGCAGGGACCTGCCCCACACTCACCCCAACCTTACTGGACACCTCCCACAGCCCAGAAGTGCAAACACACCCAGAATGCCCCTCAGGATGGAGGGACCCCATCCAAGTCTGAATCCCACCCCACCCCTCTCACCTCAGGACCTGGAAGACCATCCTCATCTTCCTGAATCCTTTAGAAGATAAAGCTGCCCAGGGCGGCGGGAAAGGAGCGTGCCCACAATGGAACTGGGGTGCAGGGACGGGGGGGGGGGGTTGGTTTTCCTTCAAAACTAACATGGAGGTCCTCTTCCCTCAAGAGAAGAGGATGATCCAATGTCCTCTGGGAGACACCAACAGCGGGGGGGACAGGCAGAGCTAAATTATTTGTCCCTAGTTATGGCTACAGAAACTCACGCAGGGCCTGTCATCTGGGTCCCTGCTCCACAGGTAAGTCCCCCCGTGGGAACAGACCATGAGGCTGCACCACCTCCACGATACCATGGGAGCGAGCTACGGCCAGCTTCCAGCCCAGCAGCAGCCACCGTTCCCCCCTGGAATCCCGTGAAGTCCTCTACATCATATTTAGTTCTCCAACCCAGCTCAGGTCGTAGGTTTATGGATGGAGCAAATGAACCCTGATCAGAGGCACAGTTACTTGTCCAGGTCCCAGGGGAAGACAGGAAGGGGTCGCAGAGCCCCTGCTCTTCACCACTGTCCTCCACTGTCCCTCTAAACTGGACACCCCCCGCCACACACACACAGGAGATGCTTGGGCACAAGGGAGTTACCGAATAGATGTGTTCGAACACATAAAGCCATAGCGTAAAAATGGCCAATGTGAAAAGATGTTCAACTGCTCTTGTAATCAAAGAAATGCAAATTAAATTGAGATGCCATTTTTTGCCTATTAACTTGGCAAAGATTTTTTTTTTAATGATATTTCCCACTGCTGGTGAGGATGTGCAGAAAAGAGGCCCTCTCATGCCCTACTTGGTGGGAGTGTAAACTGACACAATCTTCTGGAAATACTGAAAGGCTTAAAAATTCATGTGTCCTTTGATCCAGCAATTCTACTTCCATGAATCTAGAATAAGGAAATAATCAGGAAGGTGAATACATATTCTCCGCAAGGAAGTGCAGAGCACTTTATTTATAAAAGCAAGAAAATGGGAACAATATACGTGTCCAACAATAAAGGAACGGCTAAATAAGTTAAGGTGCTTCATGTGAACCTACAGCCATTAGAGATAATGATATAGAATATTTAATGGTGAGGAAGATGTTCATGATACGCTATTTTAAAAAGCACTCTACAAATGAGGGGCACCCAGCTGGCTTAGTCGATGGAGCATACATGCAACTCTTGATCTCAGGGTTTTGAGTTTGAGCCCCACATTGGGTGTAGAGATTACTCAAAAATAAAATCTTGAAAAAAGAAAAGCAGTCTATAAACCATTGGGGAGGACGTGATCCCATTTTTCTTATATAACTGACCCTTGAACAACATGGGTTTGAACTGCACAGTTCCACTTAATGTGGACTTATTTTTTTTAAGATTTTATTTATTTACTCATAAGAGACACACAGAGAAAGGCAGAGGGAGAAGCAGGATCCCTGTAGGGAGCCCGATGCCGGACTCGATCCCAGGACCTAGGGATCATGCCCTGAGCCAAAGGCAGACACTCAACTGCTGAGCCACCCAGGCATCCCCTGTGGGGATGAAAGAATCCCCTGGCTTCTTTCGATAAATACAATACTATACAAATGTATTTTCTCTCATGATTTTATTTTTCTAAAGTTTATTATTTTTTTTTAGTAATTTCTGTAGTCAACGTGGAGCTTGAACTCACGACCACAAGGTCAAGAGTCACAAGCTCTCCTGACTGAGCCAGCCAGGTGCCCCCCTCTCATGATGATTTTAGTAAGATATTTTTTTTTCTCTAGCATACTTTATCATAAGAATATAGTATATCGTACATGCACAAGATATGTGTTAATCAACTTTTTTTTTTTAAGTTTTATTTACGAGAGAGAACGCATGTGTGCATGCTAGAGCACAAGCTGGTGGGGAGGCAGAGAGAGAAGCAGGCTCCCCTACTGAGCAGGGAGCCCAAAGAGGGTCCCTCAATCTCAGGATCCTGAGTTTATGACCTGAGCCGAAAGCAGACCCTTAGCCAGCCGAGCCACCCAGGCGCCTCTGATTGACTTTATGGTATAGGTAAGGCTTCCAGTAAACAGTAGACTATTAGTAGTTAGGTTTTCAGAGAGTCAAAAAGTTATATGCAGATTGTGGACTGCTTGGCAGTGAGGGGTGGTGGAGTCAGCATACCTAACCCCTGCGCTGTTCCAGGGTCAATTGCATACATAATGCCTGTCCAGAAAATGCACCTTAAGGAAAGAACCAAGTGTCATTGGTAGAGGCAAGACAACAGGTGATTTTTACTTTTTCCTATGTGCTTTTATACTTCTCAAATTTTCAACAGTGAATAGGTATTGTTACTGTAAATTTTTTCTAAAAGGCAACGATCAAGACTATATTTTGAAAATACACAGACACATTCAGGCTGAGGAATCCGTTGTGGCTGGGGGCCAATTGTGTCACTCCCTACCCTGTGGTTTCCTACTTCCCCAGGAAAAGGTTCATTTCTCAGCCTCCTCCTGTGACATCTGTCCCCCAGCCTCTCCAAATCTCCCCCGGCGTCTCTCCGTGCCCTCAAACTCCACCCGCCCCCCCAAACCCAACTGAGTAACTTCGAGTTCCCTGAGAGCATCCTTCTCTCCTGCTTGTGGACCTTGGCATGTGGCTGCTGCTGTTCTTTATGCCTAGGTCCCCACCCCAACTCTTACTTACCCTTCTGGCTCAGCTCAGACAATAGTTTCCTCTCCTCTGTGCTCCTCTAGCCCCCTGGCTGCCCCTGTAAAACTTCCTGGAGACTGTCTCAAGGGCTGGGCCTAGGTCAATGGCCCTCTGGACTTGAGAGAAGCATTAGGGAGTGTTTGTGCATGAATACAGGAGCCAGGAGGTGAGCGGACACTGAAATCCACACAGAGCCCTAGCCCCCAGCATAGGGCTCCTGTTCATAAGGGCTACAGGGAACACACCTCTCCGAAGCTCCCCACCAGGCTCCACAGGAAAATCAGATCCGCTGCCATGAGCCACGTAATCCAAACGATAGATAACTGCAGCCCCACACCTGAAGTCAGACCTCAGACCCTACCCGAGCAATGCCACGGCTCAGCAGGAGGATACAGACGCCAGGCACACAGCTAAACAATCCAGGCTGGATCCAATGACCATCCCCGTCCACACCTGACCTTTGCCGACGCCAAGATGGCCAGTTCTCCTTTCTGCCAAAAATACAGCAGCCCGCGGCAGGGACAAGGGCTGGCTGACTGGCTCTTCCCACAAGTCAGTCTACCCACCCGCCCCACCACGTTCCTCCCCAGTGCATACCTTCGAGAACTGAGAGCTTGGCACTCGTGTTAATCTCTCCCAGACTGTTGGTGGCTGTGCACTCGTAGATGGCTTCATCTCGTTGCACCCGCAATGGCTGGATCCGCAGCACAGACCCTGCCCCATCATCAAACTCAATGACCTGCCAGAGGACAGACACAGGGTCACAGCCTGCCTGGGGTCAGACATCCTCCCACCCCCAAAAGGGCCCTGAGGAGGGAGACCAAGGAGAGAGGATGTAGGGCCAGACCCTGGAACAGGACAGGCAGACCGTGAGCCCTGCCTGCCCTTCCTACCCAAGGTTATACCTCAAAGCGCTGGGAGCTGACTTTCTTCCCCTTCTTCATCCATGTGATGCGTGGCTTGGGCTCCCCTGTGGCTTGGCACACGAAGGAGGCCACTCCTCCCGACAGCCCAGTCTGGTCCTCGGGGACCTTAATGAAGGCAGGTTTGCCTGGAAAAATGGAGACACCCAGTCACCATGGCACAGTCACTACAGACATAGCCAATGCTCCATAGGTGGCAGTCATGGCCGGGGCGGGGGGTGGCAAGAAGATCTATAAAGAAAATATTAGGGACCCCTGCATGGCTCAGTTGGCCAAGCGTCTCTTGGTTTCCGCTCCGGTCATGATCTCGGGGGTGTGAAATCAAGCCCCGCTGTGTCGGGCTCTGTGTTCAGCGTGGAGTCTGTTTGAGATTCTCTCCCTCTGCCCCTTCCCCCTCTCACTCTCTAAAATAAATAAGTAAATCTTTCAAAAAAAGAAATAAAGAATATTAATAGTGCCACCTAACCCTCCTAAAGTGTTTACTATGTGCCAGACACTATTCAAAGAACTGCAGCATATGAAGTGGGTACTACAATACATCTGCTTATAAAGAGGCACAGAGAAGTGAAGGGGTTTATCCATCATGATACAGCTGGTTAGTGGCAGAGCGGAGATTTGAACCTAGAGTTCTGAGTCTGGAGTCTGCGCTTTAACCGCTATGCTCTGTCTCCCATCCCCCCATCAATTCCAAGCTGGAGGACAAAGGCTGGAAGAGCCCCAGCATCTCTCCCAGACTTGTCCCTCCCCCACAGCTCTCCATCTGGGTGATGGTCCCTCCATCTACCCCAAAGCTCAAGCCAGAAAGCGTGACTCCTCCTCTCTCTCAGCCCCCACACACCAGCAGTCCCGAAAGGCCTAGACATTCCACCTCTTAAGTGTCTCTGGACGGCTTCCCAGGTGAATGCTTTCCTGTAAATCTGCACCCCCACTCGCCCCCACTGACTTGGTTATTGCCTTCTGATACAGCTAGCCTGTACATCTCCCCAAGGTGTCCGCTGGGAGGCACGGAGGGGAAGGAGGAAGGGGCCTCAGAAACCATACTTCTATGCCCACATCACCTGGGTACGTACACCAGGGCTGACCAGGAGCACCTGTCCCTATGAATCCCGCCTCCCGGGGTCACAAGACCAGAGAAACCTGCTTCCATTAAGACGCAGCAATGCCTTGTTAATCCTGACAGAGGATCCATTTCCTATTAATCAGGCCAATGAACAGCTCTAGGGAGGCTAATACCGTGAGAAATGACCTTTCGGACCACCTGGTCAGGGCCGATAAGCCCAGGCCCAACCCAATCCTCATGGCAGAAACATGAACATGCCATGATGACAATCTCTCCCTATGCACCCACTCTGCACCAGGACCTTTGTCTCATTTAGTCTTTCATCATCGTTATTCCCAGTTTACAGGCTCAGAGAGGTCAAGTCACTTGCCCAAAGTCACACAGCCATTGAATGGCACATCCGAGACTTGAATTCAAGCCTGACTCCAAGACACTTGGTACAGAACGGAGGGGCCTTGTATAGAGTAGGGTCAGGGGCGTGTGGGGTGAGGAAGTGGAGGGAAGAGTGCGGTGACCGTTAACAGACATTGGCTGTGACAAGAAGGCACAGAACAGATGGCACCTGGAGAGGTCCGGGGAGGTTTACATCTTTGGTTCTTTTTTGGTTTCCTAAGACGTGAAAGACAATGTTTACATGCTGATGGGAAGGAGGCAGCGGAGAGGGAGAGGGTGCCAATCCAGGATCCAGTGGGCAGAGATGGGCACAGTCCCCGAGGAGGGGAGGGTCCGGGGGACCACCGACGTCAGCAGTTACAGTGAGTAGGAGGGCTCAGCTTTGCAGGGAGAGGGAAGGGTACCACCTTACTGAGCACCCTGGGGCCCCGTGGGGGTTTTATGTAATTTCTGAGCAAGCCACCCATCATCTCTGAGCCCCTGCTTTCTCATCTGCAAAATGGTGCTAGTGACTCAAGGGTCTGTGCAGACAAAATGTGATGCTATTAACTGTGGGCACAGGCTTGGCACCTGGTGGGCCTTGCCGGAGGGCAGTCATCACTCTCCTTCATATAATTAGTCTTCAAACCATGCCGTGGGTAGGATTAGCATCTTCATCTGAGAGATGGGGAAATGGCGGCTCAGAAGGCTAAGTAACGGACAAGTCACAGCGATATAGGGGTGGAGCTCGGCTCTGGCTGGAGTTCCAAATCCTAAGGCTCGTTGTCCAGCACCAGCACCCAAGGCTCCAGCGAGGAGGGAAATGTGGGCCCCACCTGACTGCCCTTGTAGTGCTCAGAGTGGGTGAGGGCCTGGGGATAGATAACAAGCTTCTAGAAGCTTCAGTTTGCTTCACATTTCCTCCACCTGAGCTCTGAAGGAGGCTCCAGACTCTCCCAGCCCGTGGTTGTCAGCAGGGCCTGCCCCTGTTGGCTGGTCCTTTCAGATGGGTCTCCCAGACAGGACTCTGCACACTGGGGCTCTACTGGGTGCACCCCTCCTCCACACCTGAGGACCCGCACACAACAGCTCCATGATCTCCTCCTTAGTCCAGATACCGCCTTCCCTTGACTAGACACTACCTGTGTCCCTGCCTCCAGTCTGGCTCCCTCCAGTCTAGTTTCTATTCAGCAGCCAGAGTGAACTGCCTCTCTCCTCTGATCAAAATCCTGCGAGGGCCTCCCATTGCTATGAAAACAAAATTTCAACTCCTTTCCTGGTGGACAGAGCCCTGGCAGCTCTGACCCCAGCCACCCCCTACCCCCAGGCCTCGCTTCCTTTCCCTGGGATAAGCAATGTTCCCTGTGGCCTCAGGGCCTTTGCAGAAGCTGTTCCTGCTGCCACAAACCTCTTGGACATCCTCTTTACTCATTAACTATTTACCTTCCTGATCCCAACTTAAACATCATTTCCTTAGGAAACCTTCCTTGGTCTCCCTGTCATAGTGCCCTGCTCCATTAGCTCAGCTTTCTGGTAAACACCCTCTGCCTCCCTCCTACCTGTGTGGGGTTATTGCTTTTTCTAGTTTGGGGGGAATATTTGGCTCACAGCAGCTTCCCCACCTAGAACAATACCCCGGGGCAGAACAGACACCATGCCTGCCTTGCTTCCTGCCCTGTCCCAGGTGCCCGACCCAGTTCCTGGCACACAGGGGTGTAGAACAGATGAGAGGGTGACCTGACAAGGGAATGCCTGGGGGGGGATGGAGAATGCAGCCCCTTACACACCGGGGGTGGGGTGGGGGGATGCCCGGTGCCCCAGGGAAAGCAGCCCAGGGTAGAAACCCTCTTTGGCTCTTGCCTCAACGTGTCCACAGCAGAAACCAGAGGCTGGAAACCTGCTGAACCGGAATGGCCGGGGCGGGGGGGGGGGGGGGGGGGGGGGAGCGCGCCTGGGGGCGGGGCCTCCTGCCAAACAAAGAACCAGAAGCCGGGAAGGAGAGCCAGGTCTGGGTCACGAGAGAGCAGGCGAGAAGGGAAAGGCCTGAGTACTGTGTGGAGGCTGGCCTGCGCCCAAGGCCTGGGGCCACCGAGGAGCCGGAACCCGTGGAGGCTGGCCCGCAGCCAGCGCCCCGCCCAGCCCACCCACCCACCACCCACAGGCAGAGGCCTCCCAGCCCCCCAGCTCCGTGCACCACCAGGGGGCCGCCCCTGCGCTCACTCAGGCCTCACCCACCCCCACTCCCACCCAGGGTCCCTTCGCCCAGCGCTGGAGCCAAACCCCGCTGGGCCTCGTCCCAAAGCCCTGCCCAGCCCTTGCCCCTTTTGTTCCCCAGGCCAACTTCTGGGGAGCACAAATCTGACCAGGTCGCTCCCCAGCTACAAACTGTGAGGGCTCCCATGTCCCTCAGACGCCCTCCGCACACTTGCTCAGGCCCAGAGCACCCCTGCGGGCCAAGCACTATGCTAGAACACCGCTGGGCCCTGGTGGACTTGCCACCCCCTCCCCAGACCTGTCCTGACAGGCCAGGCCAGAGGGCCCCTCCTGCCTTTGCGTGTGCCCTGCCCCTTCCCGCCCCCGCCCCCCCCAAAGCCTGTGGGAACCTGCCCTGCCTCCAGCAGCCCTTGGGTGTCCCACCCCAGCGCCGATCCCAGCTATGCTGACCGACGACGCACCATCAGAACCAGGCAGCCCGACCACTCTGCCTGGTGCAGACCTAGAGCTGGTGTTGAGGGAGGGACTGACTTTCAGCACCCCTGCTGGCCCCCCTTCCTTGCAGCAGGGCAGGGCGATTGTGGGCCTCACAGCTCTTTGGACAGCAGCTCCCAGTTGTGCCCTGGGGCACTCTGCACCCAAGCAGGCCACTGAACCTAGGCACAGTGGGAGTGAGCCGGCTTGGGGAGAAGGTGGGCACATGGGGGGAGTGTACGTGTACACACACACGTACACAGAAGCGGAGAGCAGACACGCAGCCATGAGGGAGTGAGGGACAGCAAGGCAGGGAAGGGAGCTCCTGGAGAGGTGGATTTTCCAGGCCCTCAACCACCTACTGTGCTGGGGACTTATCAACTCTGGCTCTGGTGACCACTCTTGGTGCCCTCCAGGGGGGAGCCTGCTCAGAGACAACCCTGGGTTTTCAGGGAATACACGGGGTGCCCCAGGTCATGGCCTCGGATACAGGGACCACATACTAGTTGCCAGGTGCCTTGAACACGTGACCTCAGTTAACCTTTCCAGGTAGGAGTGATTACCCTTTTAGGCAAGAGGAAAACAGGCCTAGAGAGGGAAAGCAATCTGCCGGAAGTGCCCCAGAGGGCAGAGTCTAGGCAGGCCACCAGGTCCTACCCCCCCGGGGCTGGCAGGGCAGGGGTATAACATGACACACACATCATCCACTACACAGGCCCTTGCCCCCACCCCTGCAGCTATTGCGCATCCTGCTCTGGCCTCCGATGAGTCCAAGTAACGGCCAAAACCAGGGCCCCAGCTCAAAACTGATCACCTGTGCCGCATCCCTGCCTCTGTTGCAGGCTGTCTGGGGACAAAAGGTCTTCACTGAGCTCTGTCATGAGCTCCACGGAGAAGCCCAGGGCTGTTCCTCCCCCCACCCTGAATCTCACCCCACCAAGCAACACTCCCCATCAGCAAATACTCAGTCACCCTTCAGGGTTCCCTTCTTCCGGGAAGCCTCCCAATGGCTCTACCAGGGACTTAGGTCACTACTTCTGCGCTGGTGCCACCCCCAACAGAAGCCCCGCTGCGGGTTCCGGGGGCAGGCCTGTGCGGCCATGTAGCACCTGACTCGCACGTTAAAGCAGGAGAAACCTCTTCCTGCTTGGAACCACCTCTAGCCTGCTCAAAGCACAAAGGCTGGGCTCAGGGAGCTGCCCAAGCCCCGCGTGCCTGGGTCTCCACTGGAGCTGACTCGGCATTAACGCGGGGGCCTCTGGGCTAACTCTTGGCAGCTGCTTCTCCACTCCCCTTCCCTCCGCTCCCCTCAGAGGCCAGGGCTCCCATTCATTTGTCTCGTTAAGAGGCCTATAGAAACACATTTGTCCGCTCCGCGCTTCACTGCCCCGGTCGTCAATTCTCCGGGGCGCCTTCCCTACCTTTTGCAGCAGCTCTGTTCACGTTTGCCCACTCACCCTGGCTAGAAGTCTCCCAAGCCCAGCCTAAGCCTGGTCACAGTGGGAGGGGTACAGATCCAAAAGGGTGTGTAGTGTAAGGCAGGCCTGCGAGACAGACCCTGCCTCCTGGGGCCAGGTCCCCACAGCTCCCAGCCCAGGCCCCTTTCCCACAGCTGTCTGCCTGGGAGCAGAGCCCCACTCACCCTATTTCAGCATCTCCAGCTGGTTCCTACCTTCCGGACCCTGGTCTCTGGGTTCTGGGTCTTGAGGGACCAGCATGGAGGTTCTGGGACTCTGCTCCAAAAATCGTTCCACTCTGCCCCCCAAGTAGCACATGACCCAGACTCCTGGAGGAAGTGTATGGGAACTGGCCAGGTGAGGGGATGAGAAGAGTGTTCCAAGCAGAGGGATCCGAAGGAACAGGGGCCTGGGGAGCACAGGAGGGGCAGAGAAGTCAGCATGGCCGGAGTACGGGGTGGGGGAGGGGGGCAGAGTGAAGGAAGAGGTTGGCAGAGCCTGGAAAATGCAGGGCCTTGAGAAGCACTGAGACCCCTAGGCTTGATCCTGAAGGCAACAGGGGAGGAGAGTGAGGGATCTCAAACTGAGGGGTGACACAGTCAGGCTCTCACGCTGGAAGGAGGACTGGATCGCGAGGGCACGGAGGCAGGAAGCCATCAGAAGGCAGTTGCGTGTGAAAGCCCAAGCTTTCTGGCTTGGCTGAGGGTGGCTTGGGGGGAGGCAGCAGAGGGGAAGGTGGATGCATTCCAAAGATATTTAAAAGGGAGAAGCAACAGAAGTTGGTGATGGATTAGATGTGGGGTATGAGACAGGGAGGAGGCCCCAGGTTCTGACTTGGGTGGCGGGGTGGGTGGTAATGCCAATTCGCCAAGAGAGAGAAGGCAGGAAGGAGAGCAGGTCTGGGGGGATGAGGGTACACGTTAGGGCATGTCTCAGTCTGCGCAGGAGGGGGAGGCGGTCTCCCAGGATGCGCTGTCTGAAAGCCCAGCTGGGCGCTCCTCCCTCTGCCCTCAAGCTCCTGTCCAAAGGCCGTAAGAGTGTCCAGGGTGAGGTCGGGGAGCAAGGACAGTACTTCAGCGTCCAAGGGCTACTGACCACACCTGACTGTTGACAAGCCTTTGCCTCCCTGCCAACGTCAGAGTCACACCCAGTGACTTCTACCCCAACCTGCCCCTGCAGGCTCAAGCTCTCTCCAGCAGCCCCGGCCAGGCCTGGGGATCAACCCCCCCACCCCCACCCTGGCCCTGTTCCTGCTTGCCCAGCCCTCCGTTGGCCTGCACCTCAAAGCTCCCACCACCCCTCACTGCACCGCCCCCCCCAGGAGGAACGCCCTCCCCTTCCTGGGCCCTACTAGCCCCACCAGGGCCCAGCCTCAGAGGACAAAGGGCGGGGTGCATCAGTCCCACCTCTCTCCAGGATCTGGTCCTGAATAATTAATGATCCATTAGGAGAAAGGGCCTGGGTGGGGCAAGGAGACAGATGAGTGCCCAGATACTTGGAGTGGGGGGTGAGGGAAGCCCTATGGCCCACTGTCACCCAGGCTGACCTCCAGGTTGGGCCTTGGCCACCTCTGGGCTCCGGACAGGCTGGGAACAGCCCCTGCCCCCAGGGACCTTGGCTCCGACCTCACCCCTCCCAGTCAGTGTGCAGATTGGCTAAATCTGCCCTGTGCTCCGCCTCCCACCAGTAACCAAGCAGTGGTAACCATGGTGACGGGGCGGGCTGCGGCCAGTCTCGTAGTGCCAGGCAGGGGGAAGGGCGGCAGGAAAGGGATGAAAGTTCGGAGTTGGATTTGGGCAGGGGACAATCCCACTTCTCCCAATACACACATCCACACACGCACACACACACACACACACAGAGCCCCCCCACTCCCCCCACTCCCCAGGCTGAAGGGCTGGGGGAAGGGGGATGACCCTTTGCCTTAAAGGTGGTGGAGAAGGGGAAGGAGGGGCTCAGTGTCCCCACATCTGAATCCCAAGGGTCTGGCCTAGGGAAAGGGCTGTGGTGGCTCTGGCTTCCTCTCACTCCCTGGACCTGCGGACACATCTGGCACTCCATTCACACACCCGTACACGTTCCCTATGTGCCGACCCCTATTTCCACTCAACCCTGACATGGCTCACCCTGGGTCCTCAGCACAGATCTGCAGTGGCAGACAGGCTACACGCCTGAGCGTGTCACCCGATGACCATGTGAATCCTGGTCAGGTCTCACCCCAGTTCCATACAACGGGTTGCAATTAGACACACTCCACCCTGCAGCGCCTTAAGGGCCATGCAGGCATTCCCCAGGATGCTCCTAGGAAGCATGGGGCTGGACCACTTCTTGGAGGGCGGGTTCTCTAACTGAAGCAGGGGTGTCTCTCTAGGGCAGTGGATCTGGGTAGGTATCGGACTATCCCGCCCCTATTGGTAGCTGGTTGCATCCCCCAGCCTAGAATCCTACGACCGCCACCTTTGGACCCGGGAGGTCCTGCACCCTGAGGGGCCAGACTTACTGTCACCATGGGCACCTGCCACCAAGCCAAGCATCACGAGCGCAGGCACAAGGGGCACCATCGTCTTCCCTAGAGCTGGCGCAGGGGCCATCCGGGGCTCTAGCACCACGGCCAGCCACCACCACAGCCACAGCCAACCTGTGATGGAGAGAAGGGCAGAGCCAGTCAGTTGGTGTCCAACAGTGTCCCTATCACCGCCCCCCCATGCCGCCTCCTGGCCCCTGCTCACCCCCCAGAGCCCGCTCATCCTTACCGACCATCCAGAGCCTAGTTCAACAGACAATTGAACAGTGTCCCTATCGCACCCCCACCCACCGCCTCCTCGACTTCAGACTGGGTCATGGCCACCCAGACCCAGAGCCCTGTGACGACCCAGGCTCCTCACCAACGCCAAGGATAACCTGACAGACACTGTCGGGCGAGAGACAGCACAAGAGGCCTTCAGGTCATTCTGTAAACCTGAGTAGGAGGGCAGGGAGTCACTGGGACCAGAGGATCTGTACAGGGCTGTTCTGTCCCAGACTGTGGGTTCCCAACTTGCCTCCGTAAGGGGACAGGAATAGGAAACAGGGCTGGACACAGACTAAACAAGCCAGAGACAGGGAGCCTGAGAAGGTAGCAGACCCATGCAGGCCTGGGACTCTGGTGTCCCCAGGGCATCCCACGGTCTCTCGTCTCCTCAGTGGGGAGGCCGGAGGCAGTGGGCCAGACCCCGCATGCTGAGTACAGGCCCCAGAGCACAGACTTGTTAGCAGCAGACAGAATCCAGGTATCCGAGGCTTGGAGCCAAAGCCACAACCCGTCTGGGCTCGCCAGGACGTGCTCTTAACAAGTCGTAGCTGCCCTGCCCGGCCACCCTCGTCCTACCCAATTCCCATGGCACCTTCCCACTCCAAAAGGAAACCACAGGGAGTCCCTAGTGGCCAGGAATGGGGGTGCCAGACCCGCAGATTCCACCCACGCCTCCTCTGCCCTTGCCCTGGTGGCCCATGGCAGATCAAGCTTCAGGGAGCAGCTTTCTCAGAACAGCCTTCCAGACTGAGGCGGGCACCTGTACGCAGGGAAGGCTGTGCTGAGATTGCTCACAGGGCTCCTCCGCCAGGTGCGTCCTCCCCAGTCTGCCTGGCACCTGCGAGAAGCCTTTGGCACGGCCACAACATGCACCGCAGATGCAATGCTCACGCTCTACAGCCCCGATGCTGAGCTTCCAAGGGGCCCTCTCCTATGGCCCCCCACCCAGGGGGCGTCAGGGGATCCACAACGGTGCCCACTAGCTCTGCTCACGCCTTACTCTGAGCAGGTGGCTGGTACATGAGAAGCCCCTCAATGATGCTCTGAGAGCACAACAGGGGATGCAGCGGGGAGGGAGTGATGATGAACATGCCCCGGGCCCAGGTGGTGGTACCCACGGGCTCTGGTGGGAGAGCCCTGATAAGACCCAGGTACCCGCTGACCCACGACAGTAAGAGAATGTGCAAGGAAGTGACGGGGCTCAGAGATGGCTCTGCTCCTTTCTGGAACTTGAACAAAGGTCCTAAAATCGGAGGGTGCTAGGTAAGCAAAGGCGCTAAGGCAAAACAGGCAGGGCCGTGAAGTGCGGCAGGGGCTACACACAAAGGGAGATGCCCTCTGGCCTGAGATCTTGCTTAAAGTCCTAGATGGGAGCTGAGAAACAAAAGCAAGAGAGCTGAAGGGGCGTGGAGGGCATCGGGGCCCATTCACACCAAGCCTGCGGTTCCACTTGGCAGTCACAAAGTTCAGGTGGCTGCGACCAGGACAGAGGGCATCCCCACCGTGATGCCTGGTATCGCCAGCCTGCGATGGAGGCCTCCGTATCACGAAGGCCCTGTCTGAGCGTGGCCATCGCTGGGGTGGAGCCAGGGAATCAACAATAGAATCCTCTTAGCAGACATCAGGCGGCGAACTGCCTGGCCAGCAGGGGCACAGCCCCCTGACACAACCATCCTGTCGCCCCCCAGTACAGAGACCACGGGTTTACAGCACAGGGGCCTGCTGCACTGACAGGCAGGGGCACAGGGGCTGAGGCCAGGCATCGTGGGGTACGACAACACCATATTCGCAGAGCTTTCGCTCCCAGGTACAAGCATTCTGGGTGTGCACCCCGTCCCCAGTGTAGACACCGCAGGGGTGTAACCTTCTGCAACACACATCATGGCAGGTCTCCCTGGCACGAAATAAAGGGGATAAAGCTACAAAGAAGAGATGTCACAGAGGTACAAGCACACGGCACAATAGCATGGGACGTGACTCCCCAGGATGATGATCACGGAGGCATAGCCCCGCGTCGGCCTACGTACAGGAATCACAGAACCGTAACTCCCAGGTGGAGACATCGTGGCGGGGCGCAGCTGTCCGGGCCAGACATGGCGTGAGTGGGGACAGAGGGTCCAGTTGCCCAACAGACATTACAGGGGCCTAACTTCCCATTACGTCATTGTAGAGGTGTACCCCACCCCGGACACAGACGTCATGGGGTGTCCGTCCCTGGTACTGATATCAAAGGGGTGTGAGTCCCCAGGACAGCCACCATGGATGGGGCCTAACTCCAGAACAGATGTCACATGGTACAGTCTAGGATGAGATTCTGGGCCGTGGGTGTCAGAGGAGAATTTGGGCCCCCAGGGTGAGAAGATGAGTGACACTTACTCGGGGACTCCGAGGGCCCCCTACGTATCTGACTCTGGGATACCAGCAAGCTGTGCAGACATGGCAAGGTGGAGAAGGTGAAAACAAAGACGTTCCCTCTCTCTGCAAAGAGCTTCTCCCAGAGGCCCATGGACTCAGGGACGAGGCTACCCAGAGGCAGAGACACAGTGGACACACAGACATGGACACGTTCTCAGGGAACTCCTCTGGCAACCACACTGCTGTCCAAGCCAGGGCTTCTCCGTCACCAGCTCCTGGCGAGAGCGAGCTGCCCCCAGCTCCGGGACCCCCTCCTCCGAGTCCTGGGTCCCTGGGCCTCACCGTGTCCCCACCCCAGAGTGCCTGGAGTCACCTGTGGGGAGAAGGTGGGAGAGGAGCAGGGAGCGGGGGACTGATGCTGACCTTACTGGGGTCGCTGAGAACCTTCTGAATCCAGCGCGACCGTGTTAAGGGCTGAGCGTCCACTTGCCCCAGCATGGCTGGGTGAGCCTGGGGTCCCGACAGCTGAGATGAGAGCAAGGCCTGAGCTCCAGGCGTTAACAAAGGCTTGTCTCTGAAATGCACTGGGCCACTGGTTCTACCTCCCTGACGTACTTGGGCAGGAAAACAATGCTGTGCGTCCATACTGGGCGACGTTACAGGGACATAAGTGGGCATGGTTTTCCTACACTCAGAATGGTTTTGATATATCCTTTTTCTTTGCTACGTCAGTGTGAAGCCGCCAAATGCCCTTTCTTGGGAAGAACTGTCCTTTCTTCTCAAATTGTGTTTTGGTGTTAAAATGTCCTTTCTTGTATGCAATACGGTGACAGCAGAGAGCAGTATTTTCTATAATGTCCTTACTTGGTAAAATAAAAAATTGCCATTCCTGTGTCTGAACCCCAAGTACTTTTGCAAAGTGTACTGGTTTGCGAAATCGAAGTCTGGGAATCACTGCTTTGAGGAAAAAGGAAGGAAGCACACGAAGCCACAAGATGCAAATAAGAATGTCATGGAAGTGCAGGTAACAGGGAGGCCACGTCACCTCCGTGCAGCCCGACCTAAGCACCCCGGCCAGCCTCAGTAGGTCCCTCCCACCCCGAGACACTGTGCTATGCCAGAGATGGGGGGGATCCCTGGCTGGAGAACAGCTGGGATCATTCTGAGTCCTCTTCATGAATATGCAAAACACAGATTGATTTGTTTCCCTTGGGCACGTGTTATTATTCACAAATATTAATTAGTCTCCAAATACCACCTGTTCCTACAGCTCCCCCACCCCCAGACCGGGACCCTGGCTCCCTGGAGGCTGGGGCCCCAAAATGGACATCAATAAGAGGAGGGTACACGGGCCCCCCCCACCCAGGGGCCGGCCTAGAGGAGTGACCAGCGCCTGGGCGACAGGGGCCTGGGAGCGGGGCGGGCCGGAGCGCCGGAGCCGTTCACGCTCTCACCCACGGGCAGCTAACCGAGCCCTTTTGTCATGTCCTGGACAGTTCACTGCGTGGCACTGCAGCAGCAGCCGCGGAGGCGGAAACGGGCCTTGTTACACTTGGGAAGGAAAACCAACGTGTTTCCAACTCTCACCAAACCGACCGCCGGATTATGACAGGAATAAATCAGTCTCAGCCTCGACCCCGGCCCTGGGGAAGGAGGCAGCCCGCAGCAGGCAGCTTCCCTCTTACAGGCGGTGGCCGGAGTCTGTGGGCACAGCCTGCAGCAGCCCACCCACCCTCCTACAGCTGGGCCCCCTACCCTCACAGCCCTCAGCTCCTTGGGCCCCCCTGGGAATGGAGGGGATCTAAGGAAGAGCATCCCAGTGTCTCCCCAGGTGGCACAAGGGCCAGCAGGGGTGAAGATGGCAAAGACCAAGGGGACCAGCGGAGGCACCTGCTTACAGCTAGGGACCCTGAGCCCCCAGTGTTCTGGGTTCCTTCCTCCGGTGGCGGAGCCTCCCTGGTGTTAGCGCTCAGCAGCAGCTTCAAGCCTCTGTACTTGCTGTTCTCTCTACTGGGGGGAATGCCCTTCTCTGCCCTCAGCCACCTACTCACCCCTCAGAACTCAGCTCAGGTGACCCATCCCTGTAAATCCCCTGGGGGACCCTCCCCAGTTTAGTGAAGGCAGTAAGAGGTGGTGTTGGCCAGTGGTTCTCAATCCGGGGTGATCCTGCATCTGCCCCCCAACCCCATGGGAGTCAGGCAATGTCTGCAGACACTTTTCATTGTCAAGAGTGGAGGAGGTGGGGTGGGGGGGGCAGGTGCTGCTGGCATCCAGTGGGAAGAAACAAGGGATGCTGCTGGATATCTTACAGGAATAGGCCAGCCCCCCACAACAAAGGATTGTCTGGTCCAAAAAGTCAACAGTACTGAGGTTGAGAAACCCTGACATAGACAGCAAGATGCTTTGCTGATCCAGGCTAGGGCCGACCCCAGAGCCCAGTCCCCCAGGAGCACCTTGGACTCTCTACCCGAAGGCACCCCAGCCTGGCTCTTGTATCAGCTGTACGTGGGCCTCAGGACCTCAGGGCATCTTCCCCTCCCCATCAAAGTCAGCCTCTCCTCCAGGAGCCAGGCCCTACACACATGTCCCACGGCCCTTCGCACATGCCTCAGCAAGCGGCCTCCCTAGAAGATACAGCTCCATTTTCAGGTATGTTTTTTGCTGAGAATGGGCTCCCAGGTGATGGGACCCAACATCTGAGGATGGACAGGTGAAGGGACACATGGTAGCTCCACATCCACCCTCCCCAGCTGACCCTTCCCACTGGTGACACAGCCTTCCTGCCACACCCTCTATGCTACCCCAATGTCCACCTCGCCACACACAGGACCTGGCCCCTAGCAGACACCCAATGCACGCTCATCCCCTTGCCTGCCTAGGCTGGGCCCATCATGACCCTCCTCATCAGTTGACCGGACAGGAGTATTCAGTGGGCCCGACTGGGCCCTGAACCACAGGGCAGGGAGAGGAACCAGAGAGCCATGGGCTGGGCCTGCCAGGACCTACGGAAGATGACCCAATCAGAACTTACCCTTCCCTGTCCCGCCCCTCGTCCAGGTCCCCATCTTAGTGACGAGCGCTACCGCTGACCTGGGCTCCCAAGCCAGCCAAATTGTCTCTTTTCTGTACCCCACACACCCAACAGGTCCGTAAGTCCGAATCTGTGTGCCTCTGCGCCAACCACCGATGTTGGTGAGGCCTCGGGTCTGTATACCTCTTCGGGGGGCCTCCTGCCTCAGGCTTCTCCCCGTCCACCCTGCACACAAACCAATGCCCCCGCGGCCTTACAGAAACGCAAAGGCGATCATGGCCCTCAAACAAATCTGACTGCCTGATTCCATAGTAGACACAGTTTCAGGACTGAGCGGATGGGCAAGATGGATCCACAGATGATGCTTCTCTGCCTAAGAACCTTCAGTGACTCCATATCACCCTCAGGAAAAAGTCTAGAGTCTTTTTTTTTTTTTAATTTATTTATGATAGTCACAGAGAGAGAGAGAGAGAGAGAGAGAGAGAGAGACATAGGCAGAGGGAGAAGCAGGCTCCATGCACTGAGAGCCCGATATGGGATTCAATCCCAGGTCTCCAGGATCGCGCCCTGGGCCAAAGGCAGGTGCCAAACCGCTGCGCCACCCAGGGATCCCAAGTCTAGAGTCGTTAGCGTTGAGTCCAAGGCTCATCAGCTCTATCTTCAACTTCACCCTTTCCAGCCCCACCCCACCTGCTCTGTGCTTCTGGTAGAAAGACAGGAGGAGAAGCGGACGTGAAAGAGACACAGTAGGAGGTACCTGGATCTCGGGAGTCCCCTGCTCTTCCTACCTACGGTTGATGGGAACAGACTTTTCCTCAGAAACGTGGAGAATGGAGAAGCAGACAGATCCCAGTGTGAAGTCCCAGAAGCCTATTTCACACCTACAGCAGCTGACGACCTGTATCTCGCTCCCCACCCACCTCCATCAAGCATTCTGGCCAGACACCCGGCACCATCCTTGACACCTCCCCTCCTCCCTCATGTCCTACATTCAGCCCTTCACCCTGTCCTGTCTCCTCTGCACCCCAAAACAGCATTCACATCTCTTCTCTCCACCTCCATCCCCACCTCCCTGCTCCTTCGCCGTCGCTCAGCCATATGCACACTGGACCATGTCATGCGTCCAGTGGTGACCCTTCCGTGGCTCACCACCAGCCTGCATCTCTTTTTTTTTTTAATATTTTTTTAATTTTATTTATTTATGATAGTCACACACACACACAGAGAGAGAGGCAGAGACACAGGGAGAGGGAGAAGCAGGCTCCATGCACCGGGAGCCCGACGTGGGATTCGATCCCGGGTTTCCAGGATCGCGCCCTGGGCCAAAGGCAGGCGCCAAACCGCTGCGCCACCCAGGGATCCCCAGCCTGCATCTCAATCCGAGTGCTCAGCCTGGCTCACGGGATCCCTCTGTGCCCCTGACCCCTGCCACCTCCTGGGGCACACTCACCAGGTCGCTGCTGGCTCATGTCAGTCACTCTTGGACAACCAGCTCTGAGGGCAGGGCATGGGGGTCTCCGCTCCTTCCTGGAGAGAGAGTAAAGGATGAGAAAACACCAAGAATTTCATCACAGCAGAGTATACCCGACACAGAAAGACATTCAAAACCTGCTCTTTGGGGATCCCTGGGTGGCTCAGCGTTAAGCACCTGCCTTTGGCCCATGGCGTGATCCTGGAGACCCAGGATTGAGTCCCGTGTCAGGCTCCCTGCATGGAGCCTGATTCTCCCTCTGCCTGTGTCTCTGCCTCTCTCATGAATAAATAAAATCTTAAAACAACAACAACAACAAAAAAAAAAACCCTGCTCTTTAAGGGGGGGGGAAACTATTCGTACAGGACAATCCCCATTCAGTAAATATGCCCATCTCTTTACTCGCTCGCTCACTCACTCTTCTCAGGACTCCTGAGTATCTATGTGCGGGGCTTTCATCCAGGTACCAGCCGTGAGCAACATGTATGGACTGAGCCCCCTACTTCAGTCGGCAAACTGTTGTCTGCGCTCCTCCACCACCCCTCCAGCCACCAGCCCTCCAGCCACCCCTCTAGCCACCACGCCTCTAGTCACACCTCCAGTCACTCCTCCAGCCACCATCCCTCCAGTCACCCCTCCAGCCACCACCCCTCCAGCAGAGCTGAGGCCCCGCCCACCTCTGCAGCCCCACCTGCCCAAGCTCTGGCCTGCCAGCCAACCACAAGAACTTCCTTTTCTGCTCCTCAAATGTGCCACATTTTGTGCAGTCTCCAGCCTTGTCAGTGCCAGAAATGTGCTGCCCATGCTCTTGTGCCATGTACCCTTAGATCTCAGAGCCAATGGCACTTTCTCAGGGAGGCTTTCCATGACATCCCAGACTACACGGATTATTTTATTTTTAAGATAGATTAGATAGATAGATAGATAGATAGATAGATAGATAGATAGATTTAGTTAGTTAGTTCATGAGACACACAGAGACACAGGCAGAGGGAGAAGCAGGCTCTATGTGGGGAGCCCAATGGCCCAGGATCACGACCTGAGTCAAAAGCAGACGCTCAACCGCTGAGCCACCCAGGCGTCCCCTTTAAAAAAATTTTTTTTAAAGATTTATTTATTGGGCAGCCCTGGTGGCGCAGCGGTTTGGCGCCGCCTGCAGCCTGGGGTGTGATCCTGGGGACCCGGGATCGAGTCCCACATCGGGCTCCCCCGCATGGAGCCTGCTTCTCCCTCTGCCTGTGTCTCTGCCTCTTTCTGTCTGTGTCTATGAATAAATAAATAAAATATTAAAAAAGATTCATTTATTTATGAATAAATAAATCTTTTTCATGAGAGAGAGAGAGGGAGAGACACAGGCAGGAGAAGCAGGCTCCACACAGGGAGCCCGACGTGGGACTCGATCCTGGGACCCCAGGATCACACCCTGGGCTGAAGGCAGGTGCTAAACAGCTGAGCCACCCAGGCTGCCTGTTTTGTTTTTTTTTTTTTTTAATTTTTAAAAAAGATTTTGTTTATTTGACAGAGAGAAACGCAGAGAGTACAGAACAAGGGCAGTGGCAGAGGGAGAGGGAGAAGCAAGCTCCCTGCTGTGCAGGGAGCCTGACATGGGGCTTGATCCCAGGACCTGAACCAAAGGCAGATGTTTCACCCCGACTGAGCCACCCAGGCGCCCCACTAATTATTTTTTCGTACAACTGCTGAGTGGTCCCTGAGTCATGACCATGCGCCTGGTGTGTGCCCAGCTCAGGTGCGTGTCCCCAGCACCCAGCGGAGAGCAGGTGCATAGTAGGTGCTCCATCAGGATGTGCCGAATGGGTGGATGAACACATGAATGAGTTCAGAGAAGACACCCCAGCTCGGAAGAACCACACCGGCATACGTGCAGCCTTCAAAGAAGCTTCAGCAACAATATTTATTTTTGACTTTCTGCTTCTCTATAATTTTTAAAATGAAGGTGTGCCCCTGGATGCCTCCTCTGCCGGCACACACACAGCCACTCAGCCCCACTCTTCCCTCCAGAATCATCACGGAGCCCCCCACCAGCGTGGGGGGGGGGGACAGGCCCACACAGTCTTGTCACCAGCTCAGCGACGCGGGCCCTGGGGCCCCCTCAGCGCAGGCCGCATGTCGCGGGGGGCTCCTCCCCAAACGGACCCCCGGGTCGGGGGTCAGGAGCGCCAACCCGCAGCCAGCCTCCCGCACCCGGGATCGTGCCCCCTCGAGACTGACGGCCTGTGCCAACACGGGGCGTCCTCACTGACGGAAGGCCCCCAGGGGCCCAAGGCGGGCCTCGCCAACCCACCGCCATCCCGGGCAGACCCGCAGCTCACCCTCTCTGTGGCCCCACAGGCCCCTGCCCAACCCAAGCCCTGGCCCTCAGGACGGCCGCGCGCCTCCCCGCCCAGGTCCAGGAGATTCCACAACGTTCCCTGTGGCCACTGCTCCCCGCACGCGGACTGCTGGGCGGGTCCGGCCAGACAAACCAGCTTCCATGTCCCAGCCTCAAAGGCGGTTTGTCGGGGACGCCCGCTGGGGCCTCCTGGTGCCGCCTGTGAGGCTGTTGGCTCTCCCGTTGCTCAGGGACCCTGGGGCAGGGGACAGAGTCTGAGGCAGGAATGGGAGGGGTCCCCTAAGCCAGCTGGCACTAATGCCACTCCCAAGGCCACGCCAGGAGCAGTGCTCTAAAATGACCAGGAGTCACACCTGGAAAGAGGTATTTGTCCAAAATGGCCTGGCGGTGGGTCAGAGAACGGACGAGACGGGCACAGACAAAACTTGCCACTTGGAAAGACGTTGAAGTACACAGAACAGCACCAGGGCAGCATTCTGGAACGGCCAGGACAGTACCCAGGACCACAGCAGCCCAGAACCAAACTGGCCCCGAAACAACCTAGACAGGCAGTCACCCCTTACATTCACCAGCAGCAGCTCCCAGAAACACTCTAGACTCATCCTGGGAAAACCCAGGACACCAGATGCACCCAGAAAGCCAACTAGAAAACTACTCGGAAAGGACCCGACTGGTTCTGAACCCAAGTTTGGAATCGCTGGCTGGCACCCAGGAAGGCCTCAGAAGTGAGGTTGGGCAGCAATGACCGGGATCAGGTAAGAGGCCCTGGCACCAGCCCGGGGCTGGCCCCCAGCAGGGCTCTCGGTCACACGCCGCACCTGGAACCCCGCCTGGCAGCAGGACCAGGAGTGAGCCCGAAATCTAGAGGAGCAGAGAGAGACCCGGCAAGCCTCCCATGCGGGTCCTCTGGCTACACCGGGTACAATCCCCAGAGGCAGCAGCTGAACCACCACTGAGGAGCAAAAGCCACTGTTCTCAGATCTGGAAGTTAGGGACACACAGAGACCAATGCATCTGGACCTCAGACCAGTGCAGGGCCTCATTAGACGCCCAGGACCCCGGTGGGGTGGGGCAAGGGGGTCCTGAGCACGCTGAGGCCTCTAGTCTCACACCAGCCCCCCGGAAGGTCAAATACACCTGAGCAACACTCCCAGGCCCACAGATGAAGACGAGGGTGGGCAGCTGGGGGCCACGCAGGCTCCTTGCTGAGCTTCCCCAACCTGCTCACCTCAGTTCGGAATTGCAATTAGCTTAGACGGGTGGGTGCCCTAACCTTAAGTTTCAAAGGCACCTCGTCGCCCCCCCCAGGATTCTGATGGGGGTGGGTGTGCACCAGCCCCGTGGATGAGGATTACGACGCTATCTCTAATGCTATTGAGATGTCATGCTGACTAGAGGCCAGGCCCTGTTCTAAGCACGTTCTGCATGTTCCACCTTAATCCCCGTCACAACCCCACGAGGCATGGATTGTCTTATTCCCGTCCATCCCACAAAGGAGCAAATGGAGTCAGAGACCTTAAGCAACTTGCTCAAGGTCACACTGCTGCAAGTGGAATGGCACCTCAGCAGCGAGGAACCAGAGCCTGCACTAACCACTGCAGGGCACAGCCCCACACTCTCTCGACCTCTCTCTGCCCTTCCTCTGGCCTGGGTTTCTCTCCCAAACTCCAGACCCTCACTCCAGCCCTTCCTGGAACTCAGGTGTCCCAAGCACCTCAATGACAAGTCCAACCAGAAGCTCGAGCTCCTTATCTGCCCCCTAAATCTATCTCTCCTCCCGGTTCCCAGCTCGGTGAGGCCTACAGTTGAGGCCCCACGCAGTCACCCCCAGGAGCCTGGACCCCTTTCTCTTCCTCTCTTCCACCCCCGCCTCCCATAAATCACCCTGTCCTGATAAATTAAATGTGCCTTCTAAGTGGCTCCGCGCTACTGCCCTATCCAAGACACCGCCACCTCTCGCCTGATTCATCCGCACTCCCCTCACTGGGCATCCTGGGTCCATCCGCTTCCCAGAGCCACAGATCCTCTTCCGGATATGTAAATCTGATCATAGCTCATTCCATTCCCGCCCAAGCTTTAAATCTTTGGTGTCTCCCTTCTATATTCTCAGAGTAAAATCACAGCTACTTACAGAGCATTAAGGATCCTCTGTGATCTGCGCTACCTTACAACACCTCAACCTCAGAGTCTTCACTCACAGTCTTTTTTTTTTTTTTTCCCCTGCCTGGAGAGCCCTTTGTACAACCGGAAAACTCCTGTTCATTCCTCAAAACCCACTTCAGAGAGCCCCCTTTCGGTCCCTTCCGGAACTCATCTCACTGTGACCCTCGAACTCTCCCTTGCCTCATGTGGAGGCAACTTCCCCAGCCTTGTGACTTCAGCTCTGGACCGCGGCTGCTTTAGATGAGCTGATGCTGAGCTCAACCTCAGTGGTTCCTGAGGGGAGGGCTGCCTCTTCCACGCAGCTGCTAGTCCCCGAGGAAGCAGGGCAGCCTGGCTGAAAGTGCCTAGCCCAGTGTCTGGCACACAGTCGGGAATCAATAAGAGGTTAGTGAATTGCTCCGCATTCCCATGATGCAGTCTGTTCCCCCAGGGACCAAGAGCTTCTCAAGGGCAGGGCCCTGGCTGCAAGCTTGGTCCAAGCACACAACAGTGTCAAGTCACACGAGAAGGGCCTGCCACTGCTGATGATGCACTGCCACACGGCTCCCTGAGATTCTCACAGCAGCCTTGGGGCCCAATCGGGGTTGGACTGGCAGTCCCATTTCACAGGGGGTAAAGGTGAGGTGCAGGAAGGGACAGGCTGGAGAGTGGAGAAGCTGTGACACATGTCACAGTTGCTATCAAACAGGCCTGGGTCCCACTTCCCCCTGACGGAGGGCCCTGAACTCCTGAGGGAAGAGTGGAGAGACCGCAAATTGCCAGGGCCAGCATTTTGCTGCATATCAACCCAATTCCCAAGAAAAGCTTTTCAGCCACCCCCCACCAACTGCTTCACTGTCCCCCAACTCAACGCCCTGGACACCACCCCCATGCTGATGGGATGAACAAGGCTGAACAGAGAGGAGGTCAGAAGTCGCAGGGTGCATGGGATCGGGGAGGGGGAGAATAATATTCAAACAATTTCCTTGTTAAAGGAAAGAAAGAGGGAAGAGGAAGAGCAGCTGGAAAAGAAAACAAAACTACAGACACATTTCCAATAATAAGGGGGAAACTGAGCCAGCCAAGATGTGCAAGAAGGCGGGTGCCGGAGAGCACGCTAGACTGTGAGTGTACACACCCCCTCCCCAGGATGTGCAAAGGGGTGCTGTGAGGGCACAAGCAAGCACACAGCGTGGTGCATGGGCGTGCAAGCAGATTCCTGAGCTCTGGCTGCTGTGCAGGCCCCAGTCTGCAAGTGTGAGGGCAAGAAGGCAAGTGGGTGTGCAGTGTGTGTAGGGTGAGCTGAGTGTGGGAATGGAGGGGTGTGTGCGTGTATGCGAGTGTGTGGCCTATGCCCAGGGCTGCGGATGTTGGGGGCTGTGCTTGGGAAGTTACACCTGCTCCTTCTGGAAGCCCTAGGCTCATTCATACAATCAGTGAAAAACAGGGATTTTCTTGCTCCCTGAAGCAAGAGTTAATAAGGCGCCAAGCATAGAATTTTCTGAGATTTCCTCTCAGGACCCTCCTCTGGATCCCATCAGATCTCTGATGCCTCCCAAAGGATCCCTTGGCAGAGCCCCTTCCCTTCCCAGGGGATCCCTCACCACCGAGGATCCCCCAGAAGGATTCCCCTGGATCTTTCTCTAGGCCTTCCACCCCAATGCACTTCCCTGGATTTTCTGGCCAGATTCCGCACCAGGTCACTCTGGATCCCTGCCCTTGTCTCTTCAGGAACCAAACTGGAGCCTTCATGGACACTCAGCAGTCCAGTCTCCCAGGCTCTGCCGGGTGGCCCTCAAGGGAATCTAGAGAATCCCCTCCCTTCCAGCTCACAGCTCAGGTACAGTGCTCCCACCCCCAACCTGTTTCAAGGTGGGGGCCCTGCACCGTGCCAGGTGGGGGGTGGAGGTGTTGAAATGGGGAGAAAGGCTAGCCCCTCCCCCACCCTGGGGTGGAAGAACCAGAGAGGCGGCATTCCAGAGAAATGAGGAGGGGGCCTGAGGAGGGCTGGCAGAGATTCTGGTCAGTGGGAGGCAGAGACACCGAAAAACCAATAGGACACACGTGAGAGAGACCCGGGGAGACAGACTCAGAGATGGGGGAGGGGGAGCAGAGAGAGAGAACATAGAGACCCACGGAGGGGGAACACAGAGACCTGGGAGGGGGAACACAGAGACCTGGGAGGGGGAACACAGAGACCTGGGAGGGGGAACATGGAGACCTGAGAGAGGGAACATAGAGACCCAGGGAGGGGGAACACAGAGACCCGGGAGGGGGAACACAGAGACCCAGGGAGGGGGAACACAGAGACCCGGGAGGGGGAACATAGAGACTTGGGGAGGGGGAACATAGAGACCCGGGAGGGGGAACATTGAGACCCAGGGAGGGAGAGCTCAGAGACCCGGGGAGGGAGAGCTCAGAGACCCGGGGAGGCGGAACATAGAGACCCGGGAGGGGGAACATTGAGACCCAGGGAGGGAGAGCTCAGAGACCCGGGGAGGGAGAGCTCAGAGACCCGGGGAGAGGGAACACAGAGACCCGGGGAGGGGGAACATAGAGATCGGGGAGGGGGAACACAGAGACCCGGGGAGGGAGAGCTCAGAGACCCGGGGAGGGGGAACATAGAGATCGGGGAGGGGGAACACAGAGACCCGGGGAGGGGGAACATAGAGATCGGGGAGGGGGGAACACAGAGACCCGGGGAGGGAGAGCTCAGAGACCCGGGGAGGGGGAACATAGAGATCGGGGAGGGGGAACACAGAGACCCGGGAGGGGGGAACACAGAGACCCGGGAGGGGGAACACAGAGACCCGGGAGGGGGAACATAGAGACCGGGGAGGGGGAACATAGAGACCCGGGAGGGGGAACACAGAGACCCGGGAGGGGGAACACAGAGACCGGGGAGGGGGGAACACAGAGACCCGGGAGGGGGAACACAGAGACCCGGGGGGGGGAACACAGAGACCCGGGAGGGGGAACACAGAGACCCGGGAGGGGGAACACAGAGACCCGGGAGGGGGGAACACAGAGACCCGGGAGGGGGGAACACAGAGACCCGGGAGGGGGAACACAGAGACCCGGGAGGGGGGAACACAGAGACCCGGGAGGGGGGAACACAGAGACCCGGGAGGGGGAACACAGAGACCCGGGAGGGGGAACACAGAGACCCGGGAGGGGGAACATAGAGACCGGGGAGGGGGGAACACAGAGACCCGGGAGGGGGAACACAGAGACCCGGGAGGGGGAACACAGAGACCCGGGAGGGGGGAACACAGAGACCCGGGAGGGGGAACATAGAGACCGGGGAGGGGGAACATAGAGACCGGGGAGGGGGAACACAGAGACCCGGGAGGGGGGAACACAGAGACCCGGGAGGGGGAACACAGAGACCCGGGAGGGGGAACACAGAGACCCGGGAGGGGGGAACACAGAGACCCGGGAGGGGGAACACAGAGACCCGGGAGGGGGAACACAGAGACCGGGGAGGGGGAACATAGAGACCCGGGAGGGGGGAACACAGAGACCCGGGAGGGGGGAACACAGAGACCCGGGAGGGGGAACACAGAGACCCGGGAGGGGGAACATAGAGACCCGGGAGGGGGAACATAGAGACCCGGGAGGGGGAACACAGAGACCCGGGAGGGGGAACACAGAGACCCGGGGAGGGAGCCACAGACAGCGGGAGAAACCCCGGGGCTGCAGGGGGCGAGACCAGGAAGCAGTGACACAGGGAGACAGAGACACAGAGACACTGAGGGGCACTGAGACTGAGACGCGGAGGAAAACAAAAAAGCTGAGCCTGAGACGGGGGCAGGGCGACGAGGCCGGGGCGACGGGACGGGACGGGGCGCGGGGCGGCGACTGAGTGAACTTTCCGGAGCGGGTCCGAGCGGACACGTCCTCACGGGACAGGTCGCTCCGGGGCCCTCGGGTCTCGCAAGCCCGCCGGGGCCCCTCCCTCCCTCCCTCCCTCCCTCCCCCCCCGGCCGAGGCGGGCGGGGGCCCCCGAACTCGCGGCCGGCGCACCCCGGGCCCGCACGTGCTGCCGGGGCGGCGAGCGAGACGGGGGCGCGTCGGCTGCGGCTCCCCGGCCGGCGGGGAGGGGGAGGGGGAGGGGGAGGGGGCGCCGTGCGGCGGGAGGGGGCGGGGGCGGGGGCGGGGGCGGGGGCGCGGCCTGGCCCCGCCCGGGGCCGGGGCGGGGGGCGGCGGGGGCGGCGGGGGGCGGCGGGGGGCCGTGGGGGGCCGTGGAGGGCCGTGGAGGGCCGCCCCCGGAGCGCGGCCACCCCGCGGGGGGAGGCGAGGCGGGCCCGCGCACGGGAGCACGGACGCGAAGGGAAACTTTGCACCGGGGGGCGCGGGCTGCGGCTCAGGTGCGGCGGGGGGCGGGGGGCGGGGGGCGCGTCTGCCGCGGGGGCGGCGCGGGGAGGAGCCGCCAGGCGGGGGGGGCCGCCGGGGCTGCGGGCGCGGCAGGTGGGGGCGCGGCCCGGCCTAAGCGGCGCCGCCGACCGCGCTCGGAGGACGCGGGGAGGGGGCGGCGGGAGCCGGGGTGCGGAGGGGCCGGGGCCGGGGGTCACTCACCGCCCATCCAGGGGCCGTCGGTCCACATGTCCCCCCCAAGCCGCCGGGGCCGCTGCTCCCGCCGCCGCCGCCGCCGCCGCCGGGTCGCTCTCCCGCCACCGCCGCCGGAGCCCGAGCCCGAGCCCGAGCCGGAGCCGGAGCCGGAGCCGCCGCCTCTGCCGCCGCCGCTGCTGCCGCCGCCGCTCCCGCCGCTCCCGCGCCAGCTCCAGCCGCGCGCCCCGCTCGCGCCCGCGCCCGCGCCCGCGCCCGCGCCCCTGCCCCCGCCGTGCGCGCGCCCGCCGCCGCCCCTCCCCTCGTGCGCTCGGGCCCGCGGAGCCGCGAGCCGCCAGGCCGGCGAGGCCCCAGCCCCGGCCCCAGCGCGGGCCGACCCGCGCTCCCCGCCGCCGCCCGCGTGCCAGCGGGCGCTCCCGCCCCGACCGTGCGCCGGGGCCTCCTCTGGGACCCGCTTCCTCCTCCCGCACCTGCGCCAGACGGGGAGCCCAGGCCCACTCCCAAACAATATTGCCTCCGAACCCCCAAGTCTGCCCCCTCTTGGCACCCCCATATCGACCCCAAGTACCAGCTCTGACTCCAAACCCCTTTGTCATCTCTACCTGCCTAAGCTTAGTAGTGACACCAGCACCAGCTCTGGTCAGCAAATGGACCCCAGCACTAATGCCCAGCCCCAGATCCCTCCGTGAACCCTAAAGCCCAACAGCCAGCTACCTTGCTATGAGCCCCAGTGCTCTCTTCTGAACCCCAAGACTTACATAAAACTCCAATACTGCACTCCCAGTCCCAGGCCAACACCAGTACTTTCTGACTTGGGATTCCCAATTCCAGAATTGGATTGGGTCATCAGATACTGACCTGAAACCCCACAAATCCTTGGGGGCAATATAAGACCCTAACTTGCCCCAGCTCTGATAACAATCTCAGAACGCAAGGCTAATGGGACTAGCTTTGCGGAAACACCACATAAATTTTCATCCCGGGGCTCGCCCTCCTCTTATCTGACCTGATGTCAACACGAACGAGAGGCTAGCCAACACCCTAATACTTATACCAATTCCAAATGTGAGCCTGAATCAAGCCTTTCACTGGTTGCCGAGCTCAAGACTCGATAAATGTCTCCCAAACCTGATTTTTAAGATTAAATAAATAAATAATAACAAAAACAAAATCCCACAGTACTGAGTTTCTGACTTCTCATACCAAACTCAAATGCTGACCTTACAAATTTCTGGGCTAAACCTATACTTACCTGAAGATTCATTCCAAGTCCTCACTCAGAGGGGAGACTCGGTGAGCTCCAAAGCAAGCGCCACACGCAGGGACACGAAAGCACTCCCCTCCCCATCTGCTCCAGACCCACCCTCCCAGTCCATGTCACCGCTGTTTAAAGAATCAGCCACACAGCCCTCTCCTTCCTGGGACAGATGAGAACCCGCCCCTACTACCCTCGGGCAGTTGACCCCTGTGGGGTCTCTGATCTAGGGTCTCCCTGATACCCTCGTGAGTCTGGAAGTCAGGTGAGAAATAGAAGATTGTTGAGGCACCTGGACGCAGGGATCACAGCGTTCCTGGGCCGGGCAGCGGGGGAGGGGGGCTCTAGGGATCTGGGCCGAGGGTCAAGGTCTGGTTATCACCTAATTCACTGCCTGCTTCTGCGCAGGACGCGGATTCAGAAGCAGTGCGTGTGCGCCGCCTGGTGTGCGAGGACGGGATGGACCGCGAATGTGGGCAACAATTAGGTCTCGATGACAAACGGCTCAAAAATGAGTATTCCCAGTCGGTGGTTTTTTACCCATTGGTCATTTTGGTGTACTGTGGGGGAGGTGTTGTAAGTTTTATGTATCTTTAGACCTGTTGCCTGGTTTTCTGAGTTCGGAGCCGGTTTAGTTTCTTGTTTCTGTTTTCCGATTTTAAAAACATATACTTTTTAGCCAATTATGCCTGTTCTTGGCCGACTTCCCCTTGGCTTCAGTGGCCTGTACCGTCCTCACTGGCTACCCCTTCTCAAGCTCTTTTGCCATCCCCTGCTCCTCCCAGGGTCTACTCTAGGCCTCCCGTTCCCCCCTCTGCTCCTTGCCCCAGGGCCATCCAGCCCACTGTGTGCCCATGACCTCCGCCCCGTCTCCAGTCTGGGCTCCCTTCTGAGCTCTGTTCCAGCTAACCAGGAACCTTCTCTGTACCACTCCCTGGAGGTTCCTTGGGCAAACCGAATTCCCGCTCTCTCCCGCCCCACATCTGCTGGCCATCAGGAGTCCTCTCCCCGGGTCATGGCATCCTCATTCTTTCTGCCACAGGGCCACAAACATGGACACCACAAAAACCCTGCACCCCATTCAATCAGTCACCAGTCCTGCAAACCTTGAAAGAGCGAGAGAGACTGGAGACCATGGGCTCCTTCAGAGACATAAAGGGTAGGAGGTAGGGGCAGCTGGATAGCTCAGTGGTTGAACCTTTGCCTTTGGGTCCTGATCCTGGGGTCCTGGGATCGAGTCCCACATCAGGCTCCTCGCAGGCAGCCTGCTTCTCCCTCTGCCTGTGTCTCTGCCTCTCTCTCTCTATGTCTATCATGAATAAATAAATAAATCTTAAAAAAAAAAAGGAGTTAGGGGTGCAGAAAAATGAGGAGAGGGGAGGAGGTGAGGGGGAGAGACAGAGTTTCTGATTTTGGGGGTTTTGGTCCATATAAAACCAATTTGGTCCTAAAATCTCTTGCATGTAGTCATTAAATAACACCGCTTAAGATTTGCTCTTCCTGAAATGGTACCTGGGAACCTGTTTACAGCCATTGCTTCCAATGGAAAGCCATTCTTTTTCTTTCTTTCTTTCTTTCTTTCTTTCTTTCTTTCTTTCTTTCTTTCTTTCTTTCTTTCTTAAGGTTTTATTTATTAATTCATGAGAGACACACACACACACACACAAAGGCAGAGACACAGAGGCAGAAGCAGGCTCTTTCCAGGGAGCCCGATGTGGGACTCGATCCCAGGACCCCGGGATCGCACCCTGAGCCAAAGGCAGATGCTCAACCGCTGAGCCACCCAGGGATGCCCAGGAAGCCATTCTTAATCCCTGGCTGGGTCAAGGGCTGGCCTGCTGAAGTGCTAAGCACTAGGTCTCACCACCCCGCAGACTGTGGGTTCCCCGAGGGCAGGAGGGATGACACTGTGTTGTCCACTGCCATAGCCCCATAGCCAACACGGGGCCCAGTACCCCAGAGGTGCTCCTTATGTATTTGTAAGGGAGTGAAAAGGTAAATGTTCCTCTTTTGTGCCCGGGGACCCATCAGATGTAAATGATGAGGGAGGGCAAAGCTCCCTGACCGAGCCTCAGAGCTCTTCCACTCCTGGGGCCTCCACAGGCACAGCCGATGCCGAGGAGGGGCTGGTGATGTCTGCTGCCCCCCATGCCTGCTAGCCTGCACCTCACTAGAGCTAAAGCCCTGGCGGGCCAGCTCCCTCTGTGCAGCACAGCCTGGTCTGCGACCACAATGTAGGAGGTTGGGTAGGCAAGGCCCTTATACTCCTGCGGTTGGAGCCAGCAGCCCCCACTCACTGCTGTGCTAACCAGGCTCTTGTTCGGGCCCCCACCCCCCAACCCCAAGGACTCAGTGGTCTTGGAAACTCAGCCCATTGGGCCCCAGTCCCCTGCGCATCCAGCTTCCGGTACCACATATGGTCAAGTGTTGGCTGAGGCAGCACGAGGGTTCCTATATGCAGCCTGCCCGGGCCTCACATGAAACTGGACACAAGGCCAAGGCAGAGAAGCCAGAGGCCCAGGCCCCAGCGCCACTCAGACCAGAGCCTCAGGTGGCTGGGCCTGCGAGTGCATGACAGCTGTGGAAGGAGAAGAGCCAAGGCTCTGTGAGCACGGGGTCCATGTGGGACTGACCTGCCTCCCTGCCCCTGGGCCTGGAGGGGAGGGACGCCCTTGTGCTCATCTGTGAAGGCCGAGTGGTACCACGTGGTCGATCTGTGTCTGCTGTGTTCCAGCCCCAGGGTGCCGGGTGAGGGGAGAGCCAGATGTCAGCTCCCACTCACCGTTCGCCCTTTGTCCAGGCCCTGGGCCCACCGGACACTCGCCTCAAACTCAGGTCGTAAATAATCTCTTCGTGGGTCTAAATCAAATTAACTTCAGCTTGAGTCCCTGCCCAGCAGACCAGCGAGGATTCCATATCCCACAACCCTCCTTTACCCCCCTCCAATTGCCGAGCCCTCCGGGCCTGCACAGCCCCCCCAAAACAATCTGGGCTCCGCAGCTTTGCAGGGGAAGGCTGAGGTCTGTTCCAGGCCGTGGCTGTTGTGGCGGACACAGCCGTCGCTGCCCTGGGGCTTCCTCCACTTGGCCTCATCTGCGGGGCCTCACTTGTCCAGCCTGGGCTTTGGTAAGGGGACCCCCCCCACACCAAACTCCTTCCATCCAGGCTCTTTTTTTTTTTTTTTAATTTTTATTTATTTACCATAGTCACACACACACAGAGAGAGGCAGAACACAGGCAGAGGGAGAAGCAGGCTCCATGCACCGGGAGCCCGATGTGGGATTCGATCCCGGGTCTCCAGGATCGCGTCCTGGGCCAAAGGCAGGCGCCAAACCGCTGCGCCACCCAGGGATCCCTCCATCCAGGCTCTTGAAGGGGGCCTCTCCCCTAGATGCACCAAGTTGCAGCCTTGAGTTCTTGGCATTTTTGGTGATACACAGCTATTTTTCTGGAGGTTGTCAGCATGGGAGGGGGCATGCCTGACCCCTGGCCCCGTCTTCCGTGTTGGCCAATCAGCTCCCCGAGATAGTTCTCCTTTTTAGCCCCCTCTAAGGAGTTGAGACTGCAAAGCAGTGTGTTTACCTTCTCAGGTGTGGGGCGGGAGAAGAAAGGCCCAGGCCTCAAACACAAAAGCCGGGTTGATGCCCTTCATTCCTTCCTGATGAGTCACTCTAAGGGGGGAAAATGAGCCAGGGGTCAGTTTCTCAACAGAGCGCTCTGCTGGGGACTTGGCCTAAAGCTTCTCTGAGGAAACAGAAGCCCCAAAGGAGGACTCCATCATCCCCCCACTACCAAATCCACCGACCCACCCCGTCTCCTCCTGTCGGTCTCCATCCTGGTTCCCAGGAGGATGCGCCCCACACAGCAGGTGCTGATCCCCACCCCTGTGCAGGATGTTTCTGCTTCTCTGTGACTTG